TCCTTGAGGTTCCTCTCTTCACTGATCTTCTACTTTAGCAAGTGTAATGTCCTTTTCCAGGCACTGGTCTCTTCTGATATCATGTCCAAAATATGTGAGAAAAATGCTCTTTATCCTTGATTCTAAGGAGCAATTTGGTTGTATTACTCCCATAATCTACAAAAAGCCACCTTTGCCATTCATTCATTCATTCATTCATTCATTCATCCAAACTGTCTCGTATAGCAGTTTTGCTCCATGCAATAGCTGATTGAGTTGTTGACTGCTACTTTCCTTGACAGTTGATTGTGACTCAGTAAAATGATTGGAAAATTCAAACCTTTCTCTATTTATCTGATATTGTCCACTAGTACAGTTGTCAGGATTTTTGCTTCTTTACATTGAATTGCAATAGACAGTAAAGATTGCAGTCTTTGATTTCCATTAGCTAATGCTTTAAGTCCTATCGCTTTCAGCAAGCAAAGCTATGCCAACTGAACATTACAGGTAATTAATAAGCCTCCCTCTAATCTTGATACTGTGTTCTTTTTCATATTTTTCATCTTCTTGGATCATTTGCTTAGCATACTGATTTGAATAACTATGGTGAAAAGATACAATGCTAACATCCACTTTTTCTGATTTTAAACTATACAGAATTCCCTTGTTCTGCTAGTATGACTACAGCATTATCCATAGTTTGCTAGAATCCACACATTCAAATGCCTTTGCATAACCAATAAAGTGAAAGGCATTGTCTTTCTGATATTCTCTGCTCTCAGCCAAGATCTGTCAGACCTCAGCAATGACATCCTTTGTTCTAAGTCCTCTTCTGGATCTGACCTGAAGTTGTGGCAGTTTCCTGTATTTTTACAGCTACATCTATTTTTGAATTATCCTTAATGAATTTTACTTGAATGTGATATTTTTCAATAATGTTTACATTATTTTTGGCCTCCATTTTTCAGAATGAACACAAACAAGGATCTCTTGTGGTCAGTAGTTGTCCTCTTAATTTCTTGACAGAGACTAGGGTGTACTAGGATGTACGAGCTTCTTGAATATTTTTTGTTGGTATCCTATCAATTCCTGTAAACTTGTTTTTAGCTAATGCTTTCAGGGCATCTTGAACTTCCACCTGCAATCTAGTAGTTCCTGGTCTTATGCTACCTCTTAAAATGTTTGAACATGGACACATTGTTTATCCTACAGTGACTTTGCATTCCTTCCATCCTCCTTTGATGCTTTCTGAATCTTTCAGTATTCTATCTAGATAATCCCTAAAAATCACAATTGCTGACTTGAATTTTCCTTCACATCTGCCAGTAAGATATGCGCTGACACTGTTCTTCCTTTTGTGCTTTCTAAGTCCTGGTCTTTGCACATTTCACTTGAAAACTTAATTTGCTTTCTTAAGTTGCTCTTTGAAATTTTCTGTTTGGCTCTTTTGTTTCATCATTTCTCCCATTACCATTAGCTACCCTAAGTTTTAGAACAAGTTTCTGAATCTCTTCTGAAATCCACTTTGGAGATGTCTATTTTTTCTTGTTCTTTTTTCAAGTGTGATATTCATGATGTTCTTCCATACGTGTCTGTCCTCCTGTCATTAGTTTGCAGTGTCAAATCTGTTCTTGAAGATCCCATAAATTTGGATGGTGTATTTGAATGGCTTCTCTAGAAGAGCAGAAGCAATGACACTTATAAATGTGTATGTATTTATATGTGTCTAAATGTACATGGAGAAGTGTCTTACACAATTGTAGAAGTGTGGATCTTCAAGTTCAGACAGCTTCCAAGTCAGTGAGTCATACGTTAGCCGAGAAGCTTCTCCTGACCCTCACCAGGGATGAACGAACCCAAGACTGGCAGAAAAACCAAAGGTTGATGGCTGCAGCGATGGAAGAATTCATGGTCAATCAGTCAGGCTAGTGGCCGGCAAGCAGGTGAGAAGGAAGGTATTTGAGAGATCCCAGGATCACCAGTGTGGTAGGTCTACTGGTGTGGTAGACCATTTGATAAATTCCAATGAATAGGAGGCTGATGAATCAGATACAAAATCTGGGCCCAACGAAAACCAGAAAAGTTTCCCACTTGTAGATGAAGTAGATCTTTTTAAAGTGTTGAAAAGCAAGGATGTTACTTTAAGGACTGAAGTACACCTTGCCCAAGCTATGGTATTTTCAGTTACCCCATATGGATGTGAAAGTTGGATATTGAGTAAGGAAGAGTGAAGAAGAATTAACACATTTGCATTATGGTGCTAATGAAGAATATTGAAAGTACCATGACCTGCAAAAGGAACTAACAAGTTTGTCTTCAAAGAAGTACAGCTAGAGTGTTCCTTAGAGGCATGAGACTTTGTCTCATGTACTTTGGTCAAGTTATACATGTTATCAGGTGAGACCAATCCCTGGAGAAGGACATCTTGTTTGATAAAATAAAGGGGAAGAAAAGAGAAATGTCTTTGACTTGACAAGATGGATTGACACAGAGGCTGCAACTATGGGCTCAAATATAAGAACAATTGTGAGGATGGCACAGGGCTGAGCATGGTTTCACTTGTGGTCCAGAGGGTGAGTATACGTTTGCAGTGATGGACAGCACCTAATGACAACATAAGACATGGGCTGTCTCCCCAAGGAAGTTTGATTGCTTGCATAAGGTCTGTGACCTGAGTGAGAGACTTGCATCTCACCATCACCTTCTTACCACTGATTGGGCGTGATTGCATTGGACTAGGTCCGATCACGGGAAATTTCGAGTTGTCAACTACCAAATCACTAAGAATCCCTGTCCAGTCGAGTTAAGATTAAACCTAACACAGATCAGGTATTCCTGTTATACTTTTTCTCATGGACTAATTTTAATTTTCTTCACCTTAAACCTGAATTCACTTAGGAGCAATTATGGTTTGTTCTTCAGTCGGAGTCTGGTTTTGTTTTAGCTAATGATTTTGAGTTCCTGCATCATCTCTTCCCACAGATATAGTCAGTCAATTTGATCTCTGTGTATTCTATTTGGTGATGTCTACATGTATAGTCACTGTTTA